GTAATGTTGCAATGTTATTAGAAATAAATAAGAAGATTGATTAACTGTACTATGTGCGTTAGCGTAACTCAATGGAAATTGCAAACTGCGCAAACCGAATTTGACCAAAGTTTTACTAAACCAAGCTTCAGTTTTAAACAATGTTCAATTTAAGTACAGTTGCATGGTCACAAACAAGTCAACCTTTTGAATAACCACAGGAATCTAGGGAATCCCCTTGATATTGACCTTAAGTTGGTAAAGATGAGATGTAACTCCATATATCACTTTCCGACAAATGTCAAAATGAAGATATACTTAACGACTCGTGATGGACACTGCTTTATAAAATCTTGTTCTTCTGGTATTGATGTTTTTTTTTTTGAAAAATTCAAAGTCTAAATAGCGTAGTACAAACTTTAGTGGCAACCAAAAGTGGTTGTTTGAAAATATTTTTGCTAAATATAGGGATGTAATGAAAAATTAAAAAGGGATTCTAATACGGCAAATGAAAGACTAGAAATGGCGAAAACCACTGAAGAATTTAACAGTTCTGGGCCAACACGCTTTTCTTCAGGGATGGTCCTGGGGCTTTTTGTTGTTTACACAAGCAGTAGCTGAAAATTTAGATACAAGTTCCCTTAAATATTTTCTACAGATAGGACGATTCGAGAAACGATCATTAAAAATCCTTTCGGTCGCGGTCGCACCATAAATAAAAATCGCTTCGATTTTTTCTTCCAATGGACGAGAATTGACCATTTTAAAAATAGTTCAAACATTTTTTAACAGTCTTTTACTCTCTCTAGGGTTTTTTTTATACCTTGGGATGTCTTTTAAGTTTTGCATATGGAAATAAAACAACACGGTAGGTAGTTTTAAATGACTTTATTGTTTTTCGAAGTATTCTCCATGAAGATTAGTACACATCTGCATGCGCTCGAACCAATTTTCGAAGTACCTATTCCACTCGTTTGCTGGCAGATCCAAAACGGCATTTTTGAATACGTCAACTGCTTCTTCTGGTGACTGGAACCTTTGACCACGCAGTCTGTTTTTAATTTTCGGGAAAGTAAAGAAATCGTTAGGACTTAGATCGGGACTATATGGAGGATGTTCCAATAATTCCACGTTTTCTTTCGTTAAATTCTGCCTTGTTTTTTGGGTTGTGTGCGAGCTTGCATTGTCTTGGTGGAGGATGATTCTTCTTTCGGGGTTGATTTTTCGAAGCTCGGTGATGACTTTTGGCAAACAAATGATGGTATAGCAATCCGCAGTAACAGTTCTTTGCTCATTAAGAGGAATTGTTGCAATATGACCCGCTTTTGACACAAATGTCGCGACCATCTTTATCGAAACACTTCGAGAACGGATCACTTTTGTTGGCTTTCTTCACCTTGGAACACCCAAACAGCCGTTTATTTCTGGTTCATAAAATTTTTTGAATTGAGGTCTTTGAGATCTTCAAGGACCACTCAATCTCGCGGTATGTCACATGCCTATTTTCAATTACGAGTTTGCGCATAGCATCGACTTTTTCCTGGGTGACTGCCGTTTTTGGTGCACCCACCCTGGGATCGTCGCTAAGACTCACCCGTCCATGTTTGAATTCTTGATACCAACGGGAAATTGTCGACCGATGTGGCGCTTCGTTGCCGAAAACAGACAGTAACTCAGCAAGGCATTCTTGTTGCGATAATTGTCTCTGAAAGTTGTAATAAATTATGGCGCGAAAATGTTCCCGGTTGAGTTCCATTTGTCTAATGACTTGGTGACACTTAAAAATTCACTATAGTGAGAATACTGTACGTATTGTTGTGAAACTTTGAATTTAAGTTTACTAAAGAGTGAGGTTAAGATTCAGTACTGACGTTCGATCCGCGCGACCTACTATGTTTCTATATGCAAAACTTAAAAGACGTCCGTCGTACCATAAATTTTGAGAACGAGGCCAGCAGCCCCTCGCCAAAAGCCATCAAAACACATTATTCATAATATGGAGATACTGAAACTAATCCATGTTGAAAAAAGAGAAACATTGACATATGACATCAAAGGACAAAAAGATGAGGAATAAGTACATTCTGCCAGTCAAGACCCAAGGTCCTGCAGACCGCTCAAATAACAAACGACGAGACGAGGAGAAACAAGTCATTGGCTTTGTCCTTTTTAAATTTGAACATAAACTGACCATATTCCTATAATCATTATTGATCGTACGGAAGCGAATTTGTAGTAGTTACTAGTGGGATGTGATACGATTATTGTCCTTTATTCTACGCCAGTCGTAGTTATAGCTGAAAGCGCATATAAACAATGTTTTCTCATGAAATTGTTGATTTTTGGCAACAAGAAATATTCTTTTGTGTTCAATGTGCAGCATTTAATAATTATCAATATGGTAATAGACTCGGCGGGTGGCATTAATGGACTTAAAAAAGAAAAGTTTCACTTTTTAATAAAAATTATTCGTTAGATCATAAAGCACCTCCACAGCGAGAATCCAATTTTTCAAGGCTAGAAATTTTCACAAAGTAATAAAATTTGCTCGCCCCGGCATTGGTTGGCAAGTGATGAGAAAATTTAATATTTTCCCGGATGAATATCTCTGGCGTAAAAATTGTTTCCGGCGCCCCAAGGCGAAAGGATCTTCAGGTGGAGGAAGAATGGATGACCTTTTACATTTTCATAGTTTACTGTTATCCGATACTTTTTCCATTGTCGCGTCGGAGCTTATCCACTGAGTAACACTGGAAGCTACGTACAGAGTTCTGAAGGAAATTTAGTATCTATTTCAATTCACGCAACATTGTGATTGTATACAACTAATACAGTCGAGTTTTTTCTTGAATGTATGTTCCAGGACTAGCCTGATGGAAGTATTGTAGTCACGAATTTATGTTTTTTTGATGTTATATTACATATACATTACGCAAAACCACGTCACTCATTTCCGTCGGTATATCTGTCGGTCTGTATGCTGATTCTTAGCCCGTCTATATAGATCGGATTTTGATGAAATTGTCACACAAGGTTACAACTATCCCAGGAACGGAAAATCTTTGTGTTTTCGAAAATCGGTCGAGTAGTGGTGGAGTATCCATCCAAAAACAAAAAAAAAACAGGAACATCGCCCAACCTCCGTTTTTTGACGTTCTGGGGTTCCTGATCATTTAAAAAAAATGCGTAATGCGTAACGTGCCTGCGTTCCATAACCCACAATTTACCCGATAGAGCACTTCGTGTTATCTATTTGGCCCAGTCTGATATTGACATCTTCACCTGTACACTTATCAGGCTTTAAATTATAATTTATATTATAATAATATCTTATAAGCTTGCATGTTGTAAATGTTATTCTCATTTTGTAATTTTATTTTGTAAAAATAAGGTGACCCGTAAATTTGCTAAATGAATAAATAAGTAAATGAAAAATTGGGAGTTGGGGGTTTTATATTAGTACATTTATATACTTCCAATGCCGTTAATTTTACGCATTCTGATGAGTGAAAATACATGATAATGTAAATATTTCTCTTATCATTGCTTTCCTAGTACATCAGCCCTGAAAAGTTGACTGCGTAGGTCGTGATTCCCCTTTATTGGTGCGCGGAGCTCCGCCTGCATTTGACGGCATCTCTGGCGTTCTCGACCTCAAGTTGCGTTGCTTCAGCAGTTGCATGAAACAATTGTACATGGAAATTATCATACAGTTTTTTTCTTTAATGTCCCTCTCTCCTTTGATCTATTGAACGGATCAATTCAAAAAATTAAAACTTGAATTAATGAAATTGATGCATGGATACTATATTTTAGAGTAAAATTGACAGATGAAAATGTCAAGATGGCCGCTGGGCGTCATCTTGGAAAACAATTATATGAAAAAATGGGTCTTGTGTGACATTATTTTTTTCTTACACCTTGACTCATATCAAATGCTTCGCTCTTGTTAAAGTATCATAGGTCAGCAGGTCTGTCAGGTCTGGTTGTCCAGATACCAGACGAAGTCAGGGAGGAAGAAAGGAAGAAGAAAGAAAGGAAGGGGGAAGACCAAAATTTAGTTCAGAAATGCTTACTTGGTGCCTATCAAGTAACACCCTGTATATAAGCCCAGGCTTATATACAGTCGGATAGCGCGTCAGTCATCATACTTCTAGACAGTAGGTTTCAAGTCCAGGATCTGTGCTGTTACATGCCTAACCTTTCATGTACACCTTGATGCACACCTTATCTACTCCAATGTAATGATTCTATCCGTCATCCTATTTTGTACTCCACGAGGGTTGTTAAAGCAGCTGAAATATCAGGTTTTTCGTTCCAATTATTCAGGTCTGGATAGACGGTCTTGATTTGATGTCTAAAAATATCTTATATGCTATAAGCCTTAGCGCTGACGAGACTGGTAATACTCGTTATTTAAGGTTAATGCGGCATAACTCAATGCTCTAATACGAGTCTCGAAACAGCGATTTCATTATACTTCCAAATGACATGAGATAATGAGACATTTGCTAAAATTTATTGGAGTGCCTTAATGGAAGTAAGGTCCTTTTCTGTTCTCTGTTTATCTTGGCAGCTATATTGGAAACGATTCACTGGAAGGAAACTGAAGTTATTCTAACTGAAAGATAAGGGAGACTTTGGTAAATACTTTTAGGTAAATTGACAGCTAATGCCTGATAACGATAAGGAGAACAGATAAGATGAACGTTACGGATTCAACGCTTCCTCGGTAAAGGTTTATGGTATACATTTTAATATGATTTCAATCTATTTTAAGCACATCTTTAAGTAGAAGAAAGCACCTCGTTGTGATGGATGGCCGAGTATTGCTGAGAAGACATTCGTTTCGGTTTTCCAGAGTCCAGAAAATCGAATACATGATTTGGAAAGAGGTCATCTCAATTGCAGCAACTGGAGGGAAGTAGCCGAACTATCTGCTGATAAGTGGATCCTATTTTCGCAGAGAAGGCCCAGCCTAGAGTACTTACTCCTCGTTATTTGGAATACAACTGATCAGACTTACCCTCTTGCGCAATGGAAAGCTATCCGATTGATGGGTGATTTTCTCAATAGGTATCCTCACGACACTTGCACATCTACGAGCGGTGGATGACATTTTTCTGACTATCCTGCGAGTTCCTAACTTGTGTCTTATTCTGTTGTTTTTTTTTTCAGACGCGGTGGTTCCTCATGTCTACGTACAAGCACTGGTGAGGGGCACGGCACTCCTACCCTGTGACCTGACACCAAGCCTCAAGAACGACTCGATACTACTTGTGGTGTGGTATAAAGATGATCATACGCCGATTTATAGGTAAGTCTTGAACCCTGTTATCTTTAGCGTCTTCGAGAGCTGCCGTAAAAGTTCACTTTTTACGATCTTATGATCAATACATATTACAGACAAGATCAGATTCAGAATTGTTTAAAAGGAGTGAGTTATTGGATCACGAAGTTGATAAGTTAACAGTAGGGAAAATGTGGTATACTTATTTGTTTTTACTTCCAGTTTAGGTTTCATGTAATCTGACGTGGTATAAGAAAAACAAATTATACTGTTAACATTGCGGAAACGAACCTACTGACGCTACCTGAAGCCACTGTCACCACTGGTATCCAACAGCTACTATTTATTCCTATAAGTTTCACTTTTAACAATTGACAATGGCTTCCAGCTTCATGATATCAGCAGGAGTGACTGACGTCTCTGACGCTGATCAAGGCTTCAGGGTGCGACCCGTTTTGAACGTTTTAACCCCTGTTTACTGATTATACATATAATTGATAAGAAAAACAAAAACACTGAGTTTTTGTTTAATATGATCATGTAACTGGCCCAATCAAAGATTTGGGATGGCTCGAAATTAATAATCTGTCCAAATATTTATTTATTTCATTTATAAAATTGATTATAACCTTTCATTCACCACGTTTAAGGTAACATTTCGAACAAGCGTTCATGATTTAAATTTAAGGTATATGAGCACATTGTCCATACAAGCACATCGTACAGCCATGTTTCAGCATTCATACTCATATAACGGCGCCAAATGTTATGGATTTGGACAACAATATTGGGAATACAGCAAAACCTCATAAACTTAAGTCACTGTTGAAACAAAATATTTCAAACACACAGTAGCGCAGAGATTTTGGTAGCCCTTAAACTTTGCTATATACTCACACAAAATTTTAGAATTTTGATACTATATTAAGTATCAAGTAAAATACATAGTATACAAAATAGTTTATAGTACACATCCATGTGTTGAAGGAATAATACTCATAAACAAATACATTTTGGGAAATCTGTTTACTGGATGTTATACATGATATGTGAGGGCAAATTTCTAAAATATTGGCCATTATTCAGGGTATCCCAATTTCCACCTACTTATCAAAGTTGTGATTTTTCAAATGGAATGCCTCAAATTTTATTGCATATTTGGATAAATCAATTCAAAAGAAGAAAATTGATATATCATACTATGGGGTTTTGGTAATTAGCTACTGAGGTGTTTTGTACAGAAAAACCGTCCATTTCGGCAACCCCTCAGTCCGCCCTTTTTAAATTTAGAGTGCTGAATTTTGGTTAAAAAAAACTTACACACCTCAGTTTTTATCTTATTTGTTACTTTTTCGAATTTTAAATTTTCTCATACAGGGTGGTCAAAAACGCAAATTATACCTTTTCTCTAAAAATTTCAAATGCATTACCCTGTATATTTGTACAAGTTTAGATTCAATTTTTTATAAGCTTTTTTTGGTATAAGGTTTGATTGGATTTTGAGTTATTAAGCTTTTGAAGAAAATTATAATACACGGATACATGCTCGAAAGACGCATATTCATTTTGACGTGACTACACAGCTCGATACCACCATTTTACGTCGATCTTTATGTTCAGAATAACAAACCGTTTAATTTGTGAAACATTCACCGACTTTAGTTAAACGGAGAGTCTCGCCTATTAGGAGCATCTACAATTTACGTAATCAATTTGATTAATAATCAGCGATCCTTCGTCTTAATTTAGTTATCCCAGCTATCAGTTGCTGTAGCTGAACCCCGGTTCTGTTTTTGTCGTCGATCGGTCGTATTTCTACCAACCTTGCCAGGTAACTGGCTTAATGATGGCTAGGCAAAAACCTTCGAAACGTATGGTTCAGGGTTCACCGTAAAATCAAGTAAGACCTTGAATGAGTTGTCAGAATGTATGGGCGATTTTTCTTAGCCTATTGCAACCCAAATTCAGTCATCCTAAAACGAATTATTTTACATCTCATTTACCGGACCAGGTAGCTAGTACTGCGGTGATTCGCTAGTCCTTTGGAAAGACTAACACTTCGGCCATATGCATGCAACTCACCACACCACCTGTTTGTCAAAAATTGGTATCATTACAACCATAAATATGTATCTGTAGAAATGCTTGAAACGAGTTCTGACTAGCTAGCAAGCATACGATTTGGTTTCATCCAACCTAATCGTATGTTAGTCAGTATTCAGGATGCACGTGCATAGAGAATACAAACCGTTCACACTGCAGCCGCCAGTTTGACAGTTTCTGAGACTCAGCATTAGATTCGTATGTTTCTGCGAATACCTCGCCTATACAGGGTGGCCAAACACGTGACGTCATAAAAAAAAATTGGATTCCCCACATCGAGAGGAACCCAAATCACCCCCATATATATGGTCCGATTTTGTTTAGTTTAGGAGTTATGATTTTTTTTCGGATTTTTCGAGAATTTTTGAGTTCTGTGTTTATTTTTACCATAACTTCGTTAATAATTGTGATAAATGCCTGCTTTTTTCACGATTATGTAGCTAAGACCTAAGGCTTAACTATCATATAATCATTCAAGTCATGTAACTAATACTACTTTTTAATTTTTTTCAAAATCTTCGAACATAACAAAAAAGTAAAAAAGTGCAACAACTTTGAACGTTTATAAAAAATTGAAAAAACATGTTCTTACTATTCGTAAGTATCTTAAAAACTTCCTTACGGTATCAGCTATTTACCGTAAAAATTTCATCAACCTAGCTTTACTACATGCTACCGTAATTGTGGCTCAAATAGAACCGAACCCAAAATTGGATAACCCTCTGCTCAATAGAAATTGTTAGTTTCGGAAAAAAAATTTGCAAAAACCACAAAAACACGTTTGATTTTTACTGAACAGCAGATTATTATTCATTTATGTTATTTACAAGAGGTTTTCAAAATGTCTGCCTCTAACAGAAATGCACAGTGTACACCTACGTATGAAATTTTGTTTTAAATCTCTAAATGCTTGTGTGTTGTTTTTCAACACATGTGTCGCTTCTTGAATTTTGTTCCTCAATGAATTTTCATTTGCACATTCTTGGGCGAATGTTATGTCTTTAAAATATCCCCAAACAAAAAAATCAATGGGGTTGAGGTCAGGGGAGCGTGGAGGCCATCGTATCGGTCCGTTTCGTCCGATCCATCTGTCTGGGAACCTTTCGTTTAAGTAGCTCAGCTCAGCTGTACCGGGAACAACTTATACGCCGAGGCGGACCACAACCTGAGCATTACCCAGACCACCGTGTTTTTATTAACACACATAACACTTTCATGGCAGGCCGCATTCCAGGACGAGGAAGCAATGAAGGATATCCTACAGCTGATCCGGATCGCCTTAGGTCTTAGCTACATAATCGTGAAAAAAGCAGGCATTTATCACAATTATTATTAACGAAGTTATGGTAAAAATAAACACAGAACTCAAAAATTCTCGAAAAATCCGAAAAAAAATCATAACTCCTAAACTAAACAAAATCGGACCATATATATGGGGGTGATTTGGGTTCCTCTCGATGTGGGGATCTAATTTTTTTTTTATGACGTCACGTGTTTGGCCCTGTATATAAAAAATGCCATAAGAGTGGTGGAGTTATCGCAAAATTACAGCGAAAATTTTCTATTACATAGACAACGTTCAGTGAAAATTGCCCAGTAGGTATCGAAGATCCCCTATAGGTCCATATCTATAGACACAGCAAGTGGCTATAACCGGCAGGTGTGGCTGTGGTTATTTGTCGCCTTGAAAATTCGAGTTCTTCTAGCCATTTTATACTACAGTGTGTAGGTTGGCCCTTGTTGAGGACTTCGTGTGTCGTTTTTTCCCTCTCCATCTTCGTTTCCTCAAGTTACACCCGTATCCGTATGTGTGGGCATGTGTATCTACTTTTGTAGTTTCATATGTGCATTCATTTCGGGCCTGATGAAGCCAACCAGCAGAAATACGTATCGCTCGGGTTACCATCCTATTTTCTGCTCGAATCCACTTTCCTCTTTTTTTGCGGATTTTGCCCATTATTTTCTTACTTTTTGTTATATACCTTTCTCTGCGTGATCATTTTCTCTCTCTATATATATATATGAAATAACAAATAATAACATCCGCCATGTTGCTGAAGGAGGTCAAATAGCCCCACTTCCCGTTTCTGCAAGTTCTTAAAGTTGCAATCCACACTAACAGTGAGAAAATGCGAAGTTCCCTTATTGCATTTGTTTCAGTTCAGTTTTATCTACATACACTTCTAGAAGCCATATGTGTACTTTCGTAGTATCTAGTCGTTATTTAATATTGCCAATTGAAAATTTTATATTTAAAATATTCCCATATACGAGTGGGTGATTCAATCCCATTTGAGCTGACTCGACTCACTCACAATATTTCAGACATTCATGTCCAAAACTGTAGGTCACGCATACTATGTCTGGGTGCCATATTTTTAAATTGTGATTTAGTAATTACAATCACAAAAGCACATCCTCTCTTTTCAACGTGTAAATCTCAATGATGCATTAAAATGAGACCAGTAGCGTCTACTCTACATGACAGTTATGCATTTGCTACCGTTCATCTTTACCAACCTATGTAGGTAAACCAGATTTAACCAGCGAATTCCGACTAGGTGGGAGCAGCAAGTCTACGATTTCTTTGTCGTCAAAATGCCATGTCAGGATGACAGTGCTTACTATAAGTGGACTTGACATAAGTTAATATTTTGGCAGTTCTGCCATTAAATTCGTATTTTATTCTTCCTTTTTGAAAGTGTGATTGTAGGTAATTGTGATTTTAGACAAAATTTCAGAGTATGCTACTTCTTGCATACTTTGCAAATAGCAGCACAGTCCTAATGAAAGTAGACCTTTCCACTGGTCAGTGCTACTATTATGCTGATACAAACAATGCAATGTAGGCTTGTCTCCTTCCAATCTATTCGAATTCGTTGGTCACATCGCACAAAAGCCTATAATATCATACCCAGAACTGGAATAT